AGTGGGTAATGGACATTCATCTAGCAAAGCATGACGAAAGTTTTAGGTTTTCTCTACTGTTTTTGATAAGAGAACGGTTGCTGCGTTAGAAGGTGAAGCGATTGCATGTTGCTTAGACCCTAGTTCGCTGCGGACGGTTGGGCGTGTCAGGTAGTATGAGTGTGCTACCCCGTCAAAGCCGTTCTCTGCCTTCTTTTAGAAGAGTATGGTGCAGTCATATCATTCGCTTGCTTTAACAACTGGTGGAGAACGGGTTTGGCACCGCGCCAGATCATGGCCCAACCGTCCGTAGCGATTACACTATACTTACCGCGCTGCTTGTGGACCACATGACTGGATCTCGGAATGGCTGCGAAAAGATGATACCAGATTGAAAAAAAATGTCTTAAACTTTTAGGACACCCTAGTAAGAACGCGCATTAAGGCAGAACTGTAAAAGCTTAGAAAGGAAACACCTTCCATTTTCTCCAACAAAGAATCCGGGATAAGGCCTGGTACGGTATAGACTGCCATAGATCAATCATAGTTTTCAAACTTAGGATTACACACTATCATACTGAAGTTTTCTAGGCTAGTGAGGTGTGCTCAGTCCGATGCGGGCCGTAGCCTCATGGCGCATCATGGTCGTATTCAAAACAGCAAGGAGCCTAGAGTCACATGGGTATGTGTCCGATTCTTGCAGCTCAACCACTTCTAGCCTGCGTTCATACTTTGACTTTCTACTTCATACTTTCATAATCATATGCGTTCACCAGCAACCAGCAGCCACCATCAGCGTTTCGAGCGTCCTTCAGCTTCAGCGACATGGAAAGCATAGATATCGATCTAGCGTCCTCACCCTATTCCCCATGCTCTACTACCGTCTGCTACCCTCCTACTTCCAGATACTCTCTAATCCTGGACGCCGTTGGTCGCTGGTAGACGCTGGCAAACGCTGGTAGACGCTCCGTTCGCTAGGTCGATATCTATACTTTTCTAGTCGCTGACGCTGGTGGACGCGGCCGCAAAGTATGACTGTTGCCATAAAAGTGTCTCCCACACTTTCTTCGCAACAGTATTGACAATTTCTACACCTGCCTATTTTTCTTTTAACGCTGAATGACGTTACATTTTTAGATACAGCTGCAAGGTAGGAATCAATATGAGTTGTACACTCCATTTTATAAAAACGGTTTTATAGAGTTTCAGCTGAAGGTGAAAGACTAGGATAAGAAATTATTGATTTAGGTCCCGTGGATCTTGATCAACGGTGCTCGAGTAAAGGAGGCGGAGCAATCACTTCAAAAAGTCCTTTGTAAACGCTATCTCAAACCTCCTCCAGCAGAATGTGCTGTGTATGGACCGACGTCGTCAGAGCAGTTATAAGCATTGCATGAGTGATTGAACTTCGCTCAACGAGTAGTCTATGGAAATCCGTTTCCATAATGATATGAAAGAGAATGGAAACGTTGGAAGCTTTGCATAGCTCCTTTTTACATAGAGCGACAAACTAATAATAAATTTTGCGATTATAACTCGTTATTGACAACCGAGAAGCAATCGACAAATTGTATCACTTAAAGGCAAAGTCCGCGATCATTCGCCATCACACATAGTGGATTAAGAGTGCGCAAATAGACGACAAGGTTGTGAGTGACTCGATACTGAAGAAAAAAGTAGAAAAAACGGGACCCGGGCGATTCTATCGTCGGCAAGTCAGGTCACGTCGCGCACATCGCGTCGCGGCGGCGGCGCGGTGCGACAATTCCGGAGTTGCATTACCGACATACAAATGAGTCTCGAAGACCGCGTATTCACAAGTTCCGAAAAGCCCAAAATTGGATCAGTAATTTTGAACAAATAACGTGGGACCAGTCTTACACCCTTTACTTTTGAATGCGGAAAAAACAATCATTGATCATCATAGGCTGGAAAATGGAGACGATGGCAGACAGCAACAGTACACATATTACATCCTACTATATATAATCGGCTATGTCCGTGTGTGTGTGTCTGTGTGTGCGTCTGTCTGTCTGTCACGAAATTCATAGCGAGCGTCGCAGAAAAGATAGGATGACAGTTCCAAGAAGTGATAGGATGACAGTTCCAAGAAGTGATATACATGGCAGGACGGGAACACTTTTGGTGGGTGACAGGAGGTGATAACACTTGATAAGATTCGATAAGGGGCCTTAAAAGGGGAGGGTGACCGAATTCGTGGCAAGTTGCAGCAACGGCGGGACCATGATTTCAAGTACTGATATGCCGTAGGGTGGGGCTGGCAGAAGCTGATAACAGTTGATAAGATCCGATAAGGGGCCTCGGAAGAGGAGGGTCATCAAATTCGTGGCGCAGGTTACAGCAACAGTGGGAACTCAGATCCGTGAGGTGATATAGGGTGTGGGACGGGAACATTATTGGCGGGCGACAGAAAGTGATAACAGTTGATAAGATACGGTAAGCGGCCTCGGAAGGGGAGGGTCATCAGATTCGTAACGCAGGTTACAGCAACAGTGGGACCTCTGATCCGAGAGGCGATACAGGGTGATATGATAGTGATACGGGACGGGAGTGTTATTGGCGGGTACGGAAGTGATAGGAGCTAAAATTGACAAGGTAGCATGGGAAAATCCGCTTCACCGCTCACAACAACAATGCGATCGATATGACTCAAGTATAACGATCTCAGTGATTCCAACAGAACTCATTCCTCACTGCTTATTAGTAACGACATCGTGTACGACCGCTAAGCCAGCTCTATTCCAAATGCATGTGGTTTGTTTACAGAGATGTTATGAACAGCAGCAACTGACTTTATCACTCTTACCACAATTATCTTCCATCAGCAACTTCAGTGAGGGCCATTTAAAGGGTTCCACTGCTGAATGCGGTAGTGCATTCCAAAGCAAGACGCTTTAGGAAGACAGATTGCATAAATTATAGGCTGCTTCAGTGGCTGTCCAAACAGGCTGCACTATTCCGTGTAGGTTATGAACGTACCAGTCGGATCGCTGGCTAAGCCGCTTTCCTCCTTCTGTGATGCGGGGGGGGGCTGCTGCTGCTTCTGCGCCTTGACGGAACAAGCGCTGCTTTTCAGTTCTTGGCTGATGCAGAAGATTCCTTTGAACAGTGTGGTTGGTCAACGATCCTTAACTTAGCACGCGGCAAATCCGCATGGCCCGGCTTCGCCGGGCCATGTCACAGAAGGAGGAGCGCCCGGCGACAGCCGGGCGATCCGACTGGTAAACAATATGGCTTGATGATCATTTTAACAATTTCAACGAGCACGACGCAGCAGGACTCGTACGCGGCGCCCACCAGCGCGGCGACCTACTTATCATCGACGATAGAATCGCCACACACCCAGAAAAAACATGCCAGATGCCCTGAATAAGACCCCATTCCGATCCCAGCTTGTACGTGCCAAACTAAATCCATCTGTAACATTACGCCCTAGTCCGCTCAGGTAATTCCCCGATAAGAACTCTGGGATAGCTGAGAGGCGGGCTCTGGAGGCGGAGTCTGGAAGGCGGAGTCACTGGAAAAAGGAGGCCTCACTGAACCCACTGAACCTATATTGCGCTATAGCGCCCCTCCCATACAATTTTTTTGCCGCGAAACCGGTACAAGGTTGTTCGTCGCAGGCCACACTACCCTTGCAGTGCCACGTTTTCAACTTCTATGCCTGCTTTGAATCTGACAGATGTAACCCCCACACTCCCCTTGTCTAATTTTTCATTGTCGCTGACAGGAAGACCTGAATGAATTGGTCAAGAAATGACAAGGGAACTTCTGTCAAAAGTCGCCTCACTTTCGCCACTCCACAGTGAATGATGGGAGCACCGCAGCGGTCGAAAGTGGAAGGTACGCCACCTGTAGAAACCCACTCCGCGTGTGCAACCAATTTGCTGTTCACCTCGTCTTCCGCGTTGTAAAACACCCTGCTTTTCAAAGGAGCCCAAGCAGTGAAAAGCAATCCGTTCCGCTGAATAGGATGTGTTCTGAAGCCTATTCCTGAATAGAATTGGTGCAGCAGTTCGTCGGTTCAACATCACAGTAATGCTGTTTTTGCATGAGGAGCTTTTCACGCAAACTGTACGAGTAGTGCTAGTTTCTTTTCGATTTTTCTTGTGTTGGACATCATTTGTCAGTACTGTGATGAATTAATGTGCAAGCCAAGGGATGCACATATATCCGCAGATGTTCCTTCGCCAGCAAGTCCGATGATGTCGTACAATGGAAGCTCTCTCACCATGAGAGGCCAACATACTTGCGGCAGCTTCCACCAGTGACATCAGCGTTTCAAGCGTCCCTCAGCGTCAACGACTAGGAAAGCGTAGATATCGGTCCAGAGAACGGCAGCATTTACCAGCGTCTGCCAGCGTGTCGGGGGCTAAGGAAGCGTAGGTATCGATCTAGCGTCTTCCAGCGTCTACCAGCGTCCACCAGCGTTCACCAGCGACCGGGAGTAGAGAGTATGGGAAGTAGGAGGATAGCAAACAGCTGGATTAGGCGTCGTGAAATTGCAGCGTGTGCAATGGCACCGTACAACTACAGTACACCACATGCTTTAAGGTTATGCGGTGTTGCACACACCGCAATTTCACCACGACTAATCCAGCTGTTCACCCTCCTACTAACCTATACTCCCTACTGCAGGTCGCTGGCAGACGTTGGTAGACGCTGGTAAACGCTGGCAGACGCTAGATTGTTATCTATACTTTCCTAGGTCGATAAGGCTGTCGACACGTCGAAAGGCTAGTGGAGGCTGCTACATTCTGGTGGACGCCGCAAAGTATGAATGCAGCCTTGGGATGGATAGCAGCCATCCCAAGGCTGCGTTCATACTTGCAGCCATTTCACGCGCAAAGAAGTGAACGGTGTAGGCTGAGGTGAGCAAGAACAATTAATGTGAATAATGTAATATTCACAAACGTACAGAAATGCAAAGTCTGATCGGAGCTGTTTTTCTAGTGCATGTACACCTGTTACGCCTCTTTCAGTCGTCAAAACCATTTTTACTATGCAAAATAAACAATCAGGTAGCAGTTGGATCCGACCCATTGTGAAGTCGCGGTCGAGAAACTTTGGCAGAGCACGAGTTCAAAAATGTTCAGCTGCCTTGATGCTATCATGATCGCAATATGTGGTACCTATATAGCAATACAACACTGTATTGTCAATGAAGTGTTATGATCACAGTAAAGAGATGAGTTGAAGAAAACACTAAACCTCAATAAAACCTTGCGAGAGTGCTTTATATGATTCCTGCTCAGACTGTTCATACCTTGCGGCAGCGTCCACTAGCGACCAGCGGCGCCTACCAATGTCGGCGACTAGAAAAGCACAGATATCGATCCAGCGTCTAGCAGACTTCGAGGGCTAGGAAAGGTATAGGTTCGATCTAGAGAACCACAACGCTTACTAGCTTCCACCAAGCGAATCAACCAGCGCTAGGAATGTGGGCGAGTGGGGGGGCACAGCCGACTACCACCTTTCTATCTCCGCCACCACACTCCACTCCTGAGACGTACTGGTCGCTAGATCGATGCTATACTTTCCTTAGACCTTTCGAGACGCTACGGGTCGCTATTTAACATCGGTAGACGGTGGCAGCACTGATGGACACTGAATAGTAACTTCCTGTGCTGACGCTGCTGAACGCTCGAGCGCTGGAAGACGCAGCTTTTCACTGCTGGACGCTACGGTAGAAAGAACCACACTTTAGCACCTGCCCAGAAAACGGACAACTTGCCAGTGATTAGCTGAGGCCCGTTCCTACATGTTCTCTCCGCTTTTTTTTAATACTAGCTACCTACGGTCTTCTTTTGTGGTTCCCCACTACCATGAAGCGCCAAATCGGACCGTCCGCGCCCTTTCTTAGTGTAGGACATTTGTTTTCAAAACAGTTGCCGCTGTTACTTGAAGGCAGAAAGGCATTGAAACCTCACATAATAATATTGGAAAATTTCGTTCCTAAGCGATCTCACGCCGGTTGCGACCATTAACTTTACACCTTCTTGGCTCTTTGCACATTCAAGGATACTGTAATATTCAAATTTAAAAAGTTATTCCATGATCTGGTGCGAGAAAATTTCCCCTGGATCGATTCAGTGGGTCACACAAAGGAGCCTTAAATAGTAACATAGAACAATCAGAAATGTGTGGCGCTACATCTACTATTTTTGATAGGCTCGTGCTGGCTTGCATTTAAATTTTAGGTAACTTGAAAGACCTCATGAAAGGCAAACATCTTCTTTCCGTGGCTCCTCTTCTAGGGAGAGCATTTGACACAGGTGATACTCGTGAGCGCCTTGAATCATCTGCCGATAGGCGATTCCGTGAATTTCTGTCGAGAGCCGCATTTAATAAAACAAGTCTTTCAGCCCTGGAAACTGCGACGCAACGGTTTTTTTTGCGGAATCCGTTACGAATTCCCTAGGTTAACGACACTGGTTAAGCCGGATTTATTAGCCCAGGCTTCTGAAAAAGAGTTTCTGGTAGGGAGAGCTATTTTTATTGGGAAAGAGAACTTGTGAGGAGTGGTCAGTCAAAAACGGTGTCTACGATTCCATACATGGGTAACAGGGTTCAACGGCGAGTGTTACGCTGCTGTGTATTCAACAGCGGGGAAAAAAGGCAGGAAATACCGTTAGAAACATTCTTGAAGGCTCGAAAATGGTGAGTTGTGAAATGGTGACCAAATACAAGTGACAAGATGGTAATTAGCACAAAAAGGAGAACAAAGCGGGAAAAATCCACTCGCTCCCCAAACAGCATACCATGCTGAACTGCGCTGGTACAGGCACAAGGCGAAGAAAGGGCGTGGTCGGACGAGTCCTCGCATGTTGGTGCCAGCTCCTCTACTTGTCGCTTCACTCTCACCATTCATAATTCACAGAACAAACGGCGGAACAACCGCATTATAAGCTATCAGTCAAATGTGAAGGTTAGGCGTTGCCGTGGTCACTGAGCGGAGCCGTGGCCTCGCCACGAGCTGGCCTGAACAGTTGAGGTAAGCGGGATTAGTGGCGCGTACCATGCAGGTATTTTTGAAAGCTCTTTTTTGTAGGATAAATGTTGAGTGCCAAGTGTTTGTACCCGCCGTAAGAGTCGTTTTATAATAACATATTTACAGCTTCATTACCAGAACACTTCACCTTCTCATTCTGCTTCATATATTATATGATGAGAGTTTGTTTCGCTAAGGGGCTCACTTGCATCCTGGCATCGCATGCGATCCTAGGTAGCAATTTGAGAAAAAGAGGAAATGGTACAACGAGACAGAGCCAAGTTGTACGGGTAGGCCACACGGGGATGACGAAAAATTTTCCTTACTAAAGAAAAGTACTCAACCTTTCGCGGATTTGACGGTCAATTTTAAATTTCTCCTCTAAACAGACATAAGAAGCTCCCAAGAACGTTTTTTGCTTCTGCATGCATCTCACTGAAACATATCATGTTGGGTAGAGTTCGGTTAACTCAGTTCGGCGAAGAGGGGGCATTTTGTATTTTTGCTGGTTCACTGGTTCCGATGTACAAGTCTCACTCGGGCGAAACCTGCGAGCTCTTGTGAAGCTGGGGTAAGCTCGTCGAGCCACCATTATGAAAAAACCTGTCAACTCTAGCAAGCTCATGAAATAGCTCCATAGATGTCTCGACACGTAGATGGGAAGAAGCAGAAAAGCAAACTGCCCCCCCCCCCGTCGCCAAACTGGGCAAGCCTCGTTGCGACCACATTGATGAAACCTGATAACGTAGTAAGCTCATAAAATAGCTTCCTAGATGTTTCGACACATAGATGAGAAGAAGCAGAGAAGCAGACTCGTCGCCCCCCCCCCCCCCGTCGCCAAACTGCTCCTAAGATTCTTATGAAAATAGTGTTCGCGCACATAGATCGATGGGATACGGGTCTTTTATCCTATCCAGCATGCATGCCTGTAGATAATTCTTCTGACACTCAACTGGCCCTTGTTGACATGTGCACCTGGAACATTGTGGGAACTTTAACTCTTCAGCTTCAACCCTTCAAAGGTTCTCATAATCTGCATGAGAAAAATAAAGAGCCTTATTCCAAAGAAAACTCACTCCCAATTCCCATCGACTTGATGACATGAGGTTTTCTTAAAATTACCATAGGGATGGTAGTTGATCTTCAAAAGGCCACTGAACCTTTTATAAACAGGAACCAGCTGACGATCGAAAAAGCTGTAACAGTATCACGTAGTCAGACATTCGTGCTCGACGATGTTCTCATGTGAGACAGTTCTGTGCAGGTTCCAAAGCCTTTTTTGCTTCAGTTTGCCATCACAACTGCAGCACTGTAAACAGAACCTCCTTCTGCTCATTATTGAATCCTACAGAACCGGATCGCGGGTATCCCCTTTTTTGAATCGTGTATCCGCTCTAGCTGTATGTATGTACCGACTCCTACATCTGTACCGGACAGTTAGACTTCCTTTTGTGAGATATTACCTGTTTGCTTTTATTCAGAGGCACGCCCCGGGTGCAGAGATTTTTGCGGTTCACATTCTAACGACTAGGTGGTATACTCGAAATCCCTGAGATCGGGTAGGCGTGGCTGCGTACTTGATTTTAAAATAGCGGCGGTCTAGGTTTTCGAGAGATATTGTCATTTTGGAGCAGTCGTAGTCACGTCTATCTGACACAGAACAAGATAGCAGGTTGTTTCAATTGAACAGCATTCCTTGAGAAACCTGTCCTATGCCATGCTCGAAAGCCACGCCCACCACGTCTCGGGGATAAGGAGTGTAAGTGAGGAGTGTGAGTGAGTGAAGAAAAGAGCAGATCCCCATCGAGAACGCTCTACATAGAACTTCATGATGAGCCGCGCTTGGTGCATAAGACGAACAATGGGCATGGTCGGACGTGATTTCACTAGTTATCAGCCTCACTCTCATCATTCCAGATGGAGAGGGTCGGCAGCGGTTTAACGGCACCAAGGCAGCAGTAAAAAAATGGAAGATGGGCGTTGCCGCGCTCGCTGAGCGGGGCCCGCGGTCCCGTTGCGGCGTTTTCCTCGCGTATTTTTCGTTGTCATGTCACCGAACATCGAGCAAGCGGAGCGAATGCTGGCTGATTTCGACTGCGCGTGTGGAGGAATCGGTTTGCAGCTGAACTGACGAAGACGATGTTCATGAAGGGCGGACTGGCATGCTCCATCCCGCTGAACGGATGGATACCTTTCCTGCGTGCACGCCTCTTCGATTCCGCGGTCCTTTGCTTTAACTTATGCCTCGCAGACATGGACTCCACAAAAGCAGGATAAACGTGCGCTTAGCGTCATTTGACGCTAGAAGAGCGACGCTCGGAGTTTCGTGCTACGAATGCGAAAGAAGGAATTCAGGGCTTCCGCAATCTGTCGACGAACAAAGATCAGAGGCGCAGCAGCATTTTTTTTTTGTTTTTGAATTGCAAGTAGGCCGGAGTTACGAATATAAACGTCGCGTAACGAAAATGGTTTCGGTGATCACTGGGTGGACCTCAGCGATCGCCCACCGGATTCCATGGGATGTAAGGCGAACAACCGCAGACTGCCTACGCCGTGGTCAGACCTCTTCGTGAAAATTGAACGATCGAGCAACTTGATTATCAACGGGAGCACAGGTGGTACAAGTGAAGGTGATCGGAATCCAACCAGGGCTCGGTGTTGAAGCGTTTGCCCCGTGAACACTTGACTCTTTCTCCCTACTGTTAGGATAGTTACTGAGTCTTGAAGGGAACGGTGAACAACCACGCACGACTTCTGCTTTGATCTTTTTCACAGCCATGTCAACTGCCATCGTACGACTCGATGCGGTATGGATACGTCGCTCATTCAGTGTTTGCTCCCAAAGTCGATATACAGATACGCGTTGGTGAAAAACCCTATACCGCTTAGTCAAAACATGATCAGAGCCATATGTGACGAATGTTCCACCATTGTTTATGCACGCTGACTCTACTCTTCACGCGCGCTGCTATATGCAGAACAACCACCTCCTGGAAAAGCACTATAATAGTGCGGCTGGGGTGTTAACCAGGGAAGTCCGCCAACTTACCATAGAACTTTGAACGGAGACCTGGGAAGATCGGTAGGCCTATAAGTCTATATTAGTCGTGGTGGTTCAGTGGTGAGGTTCGACGTTCGACTTGCACCATTACAAACTTTACCTGCTCATAAGTTGCTTGTGAAATGCAGGTTGCAGTTTTGCTATCTATATTTGTAAATAACCTTATAGACTCTATCGATCTACCCAGGTCTCCATTCAAAGTTCCATGGTAAGTTGGCGGACTTCCCTGGTAAGTGCCACTTGAGCTGCAAGAGGATGAAGTACTCAGCATTGCCCCAGGACCTAACTCGTCCAACGGTTCAGTTCGCTGGAAGAAGGGGCTTGTCAAGCAACATGAGCTTGGAGCGGCGCCAAACCCGTTCTCCACCAGTTGTTGAAGCGAGCAAGTGACAAGACTGTATCATATCGTTCCTGCCACTCGCTTTCTTGCAACTATTGTCGCATACCCGCTTTACCAGCTGGCAGCGAACGGATTTAGCATCGTGGCACAGTCACACTGCCTGACACGCCCCTTGTTCCGCAGCGAAACAGATTATAGCAGTGCTGCAGCGCGTCAACTCTTTTTCTTCTCTCCTTGTTTGCTGCTCTCAGGTCGTCTAGTTCTCCCTGATTGTGTCTTGCAAGTCAAGTAGCTAATACCCTGCCAGCACGCTCGATGCCGCTAGTTGGAAGTAACAACGCTCCACACTGCCTGTACTATAAAGGCAAATTGGGAGATGTGAGCCATCTGCTCCCCCAGTATGCTAATCACAAGATTGATTCCCTGAAACGTGGGTGGTGTCAAAGATAAAGCAAAACGTCTGCAGAAGAGAACGGAAAGTAAGCAAGGCAAATTGTCAGCCTGAATACACGCTCAGCATGCTGGCTCGCATGACAAAAAGAGAAAACCCCCCCCCCCACACAAACACTAGAAGGTTGCGAAGAACACAGCGATGTAATCATCCAACAGTCGCCATGCATTCAGCTGGATCGCAGACTTTTTTAAGTCTCAGATCCAATGATTTTTTTACCTTCACCAGCGACCAGCAGCGTCTTGAGAGCTAGGGAAGTATAGGTATCGATCTAGCGTCTGCCAGCGTGTCAGCGTCTACCAGCGTCTACCCGCGACCAGCAGCAGCATAGAGTATGGGGCGGAGGAGGGTACCAGCTGTCTGCTACCTCCTATGGTGCCATACTCTACCAGCTGTCTGCTACCCTCCTATCGCCCCATACTCTCCACTCTCAGACGCTGCTGGTCGCTGGTAGACGCTGGTAGGCAATCGATACCAACACTTCCCTAGTACTCGAGACGCTGCTGGTCGATAGTGGACGCTGGTAGCCTGCAGACGCTAGATTTATACCTAAACTTCCCTAGTCGCTGACGCTGCCGGACGCTCGGAACGGTGGGGACCTATTGTTGCTAGTGGACGCGGAGAATGAACGCAGCCTAATGATTTTTTTTCCATCACCGTGCGCCATTGGAAGTTGCGAAAAGTTCCAAAGAGTGATAAATTAATGAAAACCGCGTAAACAAAACATAAATTTTGCCTCACACATCCATGTCAGGACATTTGGATGAACCAACGATGTCCAAAGTTACAATAGAGACAACGCCGTTCAAGATCGCAGCCAGGACAATAAACAGAAGAAATACCATCTGAAATCGCAACAGTTGCAGGGACGCTGTCAGGTTCTTATCATGATTAGTATTCCACGTGATGGGCCAAAATTGAGCACACTCAAAAACATTATAGCAAAGCATGTAAATCAGTAGATTGGATAGTAGTTGAAAGAATTTACAACCATCGGCGGCTACCGAAGTTAGCTTGGGGGAATTCAGTCCCAAAATGTCTGTACGTTCAGCTGGAGAGTTTTGATTCTGTGGTATAATGTGGAGTAGACATCATTTTTCAAAAGGGACCTGACGTGACATGCTGGCTTCAGATCTGCTCGAAGGCCGGTCTTAACGACTGATCAAGTCAAATTGCCTGCCTTCGTGTCGCTGCTGTGAAAATTTCCACTTATGAGGTGGTTCTAGCTAAGACACGAATGGTCGGACATGGACTGGATTCGGTGCTCTGGATTATGATTGACTTTCACTAAGACTTCTAAGAATTTGAAGCTGTTTTGTCATGACAACTGCTGTTTAACGACGCAGTTTCGGTTTTCGAATTTTATCACAAGATGCATGGACGTTATGAGCAATAGTGCCCCAGGCGGGAGTCGAACCCGCACCTCACGCTTTACGGGCGAGTGCGCTCATGTCAGTTATTATAACAAAACACCTTCAAAAACTTGTAAAGCCTTCGGCCTCGCGGTTTAATTGCGGTATCTAAACGATTACGGCTGACCTTCACCAATTAAACAGTGGAGTGCTGTTGAGGCCCGCATAAAAGCGTTAAGCTGAGAAGGTGAATAGCGGATGCTGATGGCAGTAACGGATAGCGCACTCGCCCGGAAAGCGTGAGGTGAGCGTGAAGCCCGACTCCCATCTAAGGGCACGAATTTTACCCATAAGTCAGCATCTTTGTGACAACTTCTAACTATAAGAATATTTCATAGCTCTAAGATAGCTTACCTTCAGAAAAGTAATGGAAACTCCGCATGTGATTGCGCAGCGAACGGTAGCTCTTCGACGCCGTTCTCCCTGCTCCGTGGAGAAAGTAAGGTAGAATCTCCTGCTTTGAGGCTTGTGCAGGTGATGCCAATGGAAACGGTCTTTCTAACGGTTACACATTGACTCCACCTTGAGCAGCTTCTCATTGCAGAAGTCGATGTCTCGGTAGCGCACCGTCATAAAGCGTTCAAATGACAAACTGCAATTAAGGACTCGGTTTCTTTTCACAAGCGGCCTCAGAACGTGGGCCTTCGGCAGGGAAGGAGATTCATCGGTGCTGGGGTATGCTAAGCCGTAGTTTCCTGGCTAATTTTTTCTCTTTCGGCATACTGTATAGCATGAAGAATCCAAATCACTTCAAGACTTTTCAAGAACCTAACGTGAGGCGTGCTCAAACTTACGCAATCAATCAAAGTTACAGAAATTATTCCGAATGCGTACTCAGACCAATCCGGCGTTTATGTTGCCTACGAGGCAGCATCCGACAGCCACACTAGTCTGAGCAGAAAATTGAACCGGTATCAACTTGGATACGAGTGTCAAGAATTCGCTCGAAGATCTTCATGCCGTGCGAGAGTACGCAAATTGGGCGGTAGTACAAGCGGACTTGCTGCTTTTCTACTTCCAGATCCAAATTGTCGTGCTCTGCTTCCAGCTCTTGGGTAGCCCTATTCTTTGC